TGTTCGGTGGACGGATGCGTGGGAATCCTGTGGAATCTTCGTTTTTCTAGGCTTTGTTAAGTCGTGGGCCACTTTTCTATTTTTCCCTTCCTAGGGACTAAGTGTCGCAGGCAACGCAATAAACACTTGTGGTGTTTTGAGAAAGCGATATTTGCCTGCGACGGCGACCACTTGACTCGCTGCCATAAATCCGGCTACAGGATACGCCTTAACACTCCTGTTCCAAACACGTGCGTTTGTTTACATATACCGACTCGACTCGTTGGACAGACTACATATAGGTTATTTCTCAGCGCTCCTTTTTTCAAAGGTTTAATTGATTTTCTTTATCGAGAGGAGGGGAGAAGGAAAAGATAGGGAAGAAAACGAAACGACGTGGAGAGAAGAAGGGAGGAAGAGGAGTGAAAACGCGGGAGCATATTTAGATAAATGAGGACAGTAGGGACTTGAGGGGCTATGTACATACACCTATGAGGGGAAAGAGGAGGATAGATTTGAAGAATTTTTGTTTTCGGTGAAAAAATATTTTTATTAAGCAAACATTAGATGCATTGGAAAGGACATACTTTTGTCTATAAAGTTTTCATTCGAACACTCTAGATGTATGTAGCCCCTTAAATGATAAAGGATAAAGATAAGAATAAGGATACAGTAAGTTGTAAACAGAGAGTGGGAAGGAAGTTGTAAACCTGCAAGGGAAACAATAAAAAATAGCTACTACTACCACTAATTAGAAAATCACGCAAATTAGTTGGCTCTCGTTAATTTGAAACAAACACTTGTGCGTAAGCGAGCCTTACAATCCCGCACAATTCAGTGGATTGCAAGTGATAGACGAAACACCTACAATCATTCAATCTTCTGCGTCAATTTGTAAAAATAAAGTGTCATTTATTCACAGGGTTTGGAATATTTATTATTTCACGTGATACGATTATACACTAATTTTCACAAATTCTACATAACATGCATACAATACGTAACAAACGGATGATTACAAGTGTTTACCTACAAAGCAGAATTGCAACAACTCATGCGATCATTCGAATTCTAAAATTTTTTAAATTAAAAGGTGGAACGTTGAAAATTTCCAAAACTCAAGAATTCGAAAATTTGAAGTCTCAAGTATTCGAAATGTTGAAAACTCGAAAATTTGAGAATTCGAGAAATTTGAAAATT